TCTGCCCCCGTCCCTAAGAAATTGCTTATGATGGCTGGTATTGAGGATTGTTACACTTCTGCCCGCGGTTCAACCGGAACCTTGGGTAATTTTGCTAAGGCTACTTATGCTGCTATAGCAAAAACCTATGCCTACTTAACTCCGGACCTATGGAAAGAATTGCCTTTAGGCTCGACGCCATATCAGCAGTTCAGCGATTTCTTGGCCGATAAGCCAGGTGCCCGTCATCATATTGATGCTTAAAAATGCATCAAATTTTAAATGAATTTAATTAAAATATTACCTTTGATGTATACAGTGGGTTTCTAGTTCGCCACACATTTTTTTACCATAAATAAAGTTCTTACAATGTAAAAAAAAAATGAATTTTCATTTCTTCTATTGCTGGCGACACATAAATCGGACATGGCTTCAGCCAGAAGTTGCGGAAAGTAGTATATAACAGGAACCAATTATTAGTCTATAGACTAAGGGCAATTTATTAAAAAAATTGCGCAAATTCAATAAATGAAACAGATGCTTGTAAATATAATTCACAAAAGAAAAACACAGCACGTGAGCGAATGAACCCACGCAAGTCGAGAGGACCTGAGAACTCTGGCGGTCTTTATAAATGGCGATTTTGTAAGATTTCGAACTATTGACTTTTTTACTAGTACAAGGAAGAAAAACAAATATTACTTGATTTCAAATTTTTATTCTTATCTTTCACAGTACAATCAGATTTTTTGAAACAGAGCATATATCAAGTTCCCAAACCTTAATCGCAGCAGTTCAAAGAGAAAGTTTATCATTGCACTCAGTCATATTATGTAATCCTTTGCGGCATCATCTAAAGGAAAATTATATATTAGTTATTTTACCCTATAGTAAAAACTTTTTATTAAAAATTTAGGCAAAGGTGTCAGAGAATCATAATTTCGTCATTTGAATCAGCACAGGTCTGTGATTCTTTATCGCTCATCACACTTTTTATTATTTCGTTGATTTATTTTTATTAAAAAACGTACCAGTTATTTTATAATATAATTCTTGCAGAAATCGGTGTATCGAATTCCGCCTTGAAAATAAGACCAATGCTCATGAGGTTCGCAGGGCTAAAGTTAAAGCCTTCACAGTTGCCTTAGCAGTTTCTCCGCCAAAAATCTGTAAGATGTGAAAACTTGTTAATACACGATTTCTCCAAAATTGAAATGAAATCGATTCAAAAATTCAGAAGAATACTAAACATCTTTTCAATTTTTAATATTTTAACAATTTCATGAAAAATACATAAAATCAAACAAAATATTAAAAATCAGTCTCGTCATCTTTGTCATCATTATTGAAAACTTTACATATGTATGTACACAGAAGTAAAACGAATATCTTACCTCTCACATATTTATGCAAATATTCTCTTAAGCACGTGGCTTCTTTAAGAGGTTTCCGCAGTTCGTTCATTTATATGATACACCTATACAGAAAAGATAGTGAAGCGAATAGTTAGAAATTAGGTAGCCGTAAATAAAATAAATAACCAATAAACTATTGAAAATTATCAGACAATCCTAAAACCTTCACTAGAGCAAGCTTCAGGTGGAAACCGCAAAAGGAAACATATAAAATTTATCATCACTTATTCGAATCAATATTTCTATACTTTGTACCATTTGACGAAACATTCATACATATTTCTACAAAACTTACCTACTAGCCATCCATTTTGCAAAGTTTTTTTAACGTAAATAACTTGTGTACGGATGCACTCGCTGAATAATTTCCGCAGACAAAATTATTTAAGATTTTTACGACTCAAAGAAGCATACATAACTTCATGAATTCTTCGCACACAAACATCTGTGATGGCTTTTTTTTTAAACCTGGGAAATATAAAATTTATTATAACATGCATTTTACTACGTTGATGAAAACTTATTTATTATCACATCAAAACTTTATGAATAATATAACAAATATCAAAAAGTTTTAAAACTTAATTTTGCCACAAATCCAATTTAACATTTATATAAAAAATTAAACATCTTACCCCACTTCAACATATTTAATCAAATATTTGTTCGACACGTGCAATCTGTAAGCACATCTATCTACAAAAGAGGCAGAATTCGTTCACATACTGGCGAATATGACTTTTTGAAAATTCGCTTAGAAACTAGTATTAACTCAGTGCTACCAACCATCGGTAGATATTGAATATGATTTCGCTTTAAAAAAAGAGGCGGTTGTTGTAAATGAGGAGAACTTTTTGAAATAGGACAAACAAGAAGACTTTTCTAACAAAAATTATGTTATATATTAAGATATTCATCTGTTTATGTAAAATGTGTTTAGTAGCTTAAAATAATTGTAAAGGTCTGGAATGTTAAAGTAATAAATTTTAATAACATTAGAAACAGCAGATTACGGATTTTTAATAAGTTATTACTAAAACTGAAATGAATAATTCTTTAGAACACAATCTTCAAGCTATACACATGCAATTATTTTACTCATGACTTATAATTTAAATGTGGTACCAAGTTTACTGAATTAAGTGTTCCAAGGATCCATATTCTGGCAGTTCGGATGTAGAATGTGAGGGCGAAAGCATTACACTGCGAGCATATGTAAAGAAGAAATATTGTTGTAAGGGATGAATTCCTTGCACTATTTAAAGAGTATACGGAACTGAAAAGTATTCAATAAGATCTGATAGTTTGTGTAACGTATCGCACGGCTGTAAAGTATATTTTTATGGAATGTTCCAAGTCTTTTATAATTGACCCTCCTTAGTAAGAAGGTAGAAGTTGAAGCCAAGTGTACTTTTTTCAATAAGTATCGACGTAATAGTTATGGAATTAGCGGATAAAGATGTTTATGCACCACCTTATGCGTTTTTTTTGGTGCATGAAAAGTACGAAACAAGCGAAAATGAAATATGATATGAGATATAATAAAACAGAAATCTGTCAAACAGTGATATATCTATTATAGAGCAATTGATGATACGAATTTTATGTATTACTGCTGAAGATAACTTAGATAATTGTTATTTGAAATACTAGCCACTACTACAAACATCCCTGGCTATTAAGCCAGGAATGTTTGTTTATTTAGATTTACTTGAATAGAAGATTTGATATTTTTTTTTCAAATTATTTGCAATGGTTAAAATAAAGATAATAGTCTAAATTGTGTATAAGATAAAAGTTCGGGAGACAAAAATTATGGTAAACAGGCAGGAATCATTGTTTGCTGCTGTTACATTTTTTGCTAAGACGCATCCTGGGGAAGTGTGTGGCAGCAATGGTCTGCCTTTGACACCAAACTCTATAGCAATATTGGGCAGATCACAAAGGTTAAAGGAAATTAAACATCCAAATTTATGCCAATATTTGGATGTAATTAGAGGCAAACATGGTGATTTTGGACATATGTATAGGTGAAGGGTATGAAAAACGCCCCTGATTTTTGTATTTATATTGTTGCAGAAAGAACTATAGTGGTGTCAGAATATGGTGGATGTACTTTGCAAGACAAAGCCAAAGAACCATTGGGCACAAATGAGGTGCTGCGTATATTTTATCAAATATCACTTGCTTTAAATCAATTGCACCAATTCAAAATTGTGGTTCACAATTTAGAACCCAGGCATATTTTATTGGATTCATCGAATAATGTTAAACTCTTCAATTATGGGCTTTACTATTTAACGAACGGAGGTGATTATGTGCCCTTTCCTATTGGTAATATAAAGTATATGCCACCGGAACGGTTGATGGGCTCGAAAAATAATATAAAAAGTGATGTTTGGTCTTTGGGTGTAATTATAGCGGAGCTGTTGCTGCAATGTACTTTTTGGCCAAATCTAAAAATATCCAATATCTCGAGAAAAATTCTATCATTTTGCCAGGCACCCAATGTTTTTGAGAAAATTGCGCGGGAACATAATCGATTAGAATTATATCAAAATCTGAGCGAAGATTTATGCTCTATGATTGAAAGCTGTCTGGCAGTTAGACCTACCGAAAGACCTCTACCGTCAGCATTATTGCAGCTGCCATTATTTAAAGACAATTTAAGTAGTTATCAAATAGCACCTAATGAAAAATCGTCAGTGTTGCTCTTACGTATGCCATTAGAACAAATTTATTATTGGTGGCAATTGGCCGGTGGCGATGTGCAAGCTGACCTTAAAAAAGAGGGACTGATACGTAGCGAAGCACCAATTCTTTCGATACCGCAGGTTGTTTGTTTAAATGGTAACATAATTGGTCCAAAACGTAGCCAATCATATTTAATGGACGATCGTGTGGTACCACTCAAACTGCAAAACCTAATTGAACGGTTAAAAGGCCTACCAGCCACGGCTTATTATCCGCTTATTCATTGTCCAAAATTTCCTTATATCTTTGGAGTTGGTATGGATCAGCTACCATTGGTAATACGTGAAAAAGATATTGAATATCAATTTTATAGAGTAAGGCTCTTCTCCAAGCTATTGACGGTAACGTTGTTTAAACTTTCTCTTACGTGAAATAAAATTTGATCTATTTTTATAGGGTTATCCTTACACGGCAGACTTAATACGCAATGAAGCTGCAATTGACATACCACCGCTATTAAGAGGCCCAATATGGTCTTGTCTTTTAGATGTCATACCAAATGGTAGTTACAAGAAAATCGATAAATTTACACCCACCTCAACGGATCGTCAGGTTAATACTTTGTTTAGTTTATACATTTTAATATATTGCAATAATTAATAGAAGATGAAATAATTCTTAGATTGAAGTTGATATTCCGCGCTGCCATCAGTACGATGAATTGCTTTCTTCGCCAGAAGGTCATCGTAAATTGAAACGCCTATTGAAAGCCTGGGTTACTGCGCACCCACAGTATGTATACTGGCAGGGCTTGGATTCCTTGACAGCACCTTTCCTATATCTAAATTTCAATAATGAGGAATTGGCTTTTTTGAGCGTATTTAAATTTATAGCGCGTTACCTGCAGTGGTTCTTCTTAAAGGACAACTCCGCCGTAATTAAGGAGTATTTGTGTAAATTTAAGCAACTGACGGCATTCCATGAGCCCGTATTGGCACAACATTTAGTAAGCATTTGTTTTATACCAGAACTGTTTGCCATACCGTGGTTTTTAACCATGTTTTCGCGTACGTAGCAATTTCCTTTCATATTTCTTATAATTAACAAAGTTTATTTTTCTTTTTGCAGATGTTTTTCCATTACATAAAATTTTGCATTTATGGGACAAACTTATGCTTGGTGATAACTCTTATCCGCTTTTCATTGGTATCGCAATATTGAAACAATTGAAAAGCACTTTATTGGCTTCAGGTTTTAATGAATGCATTTTGCTCTTCTCCGATTTACCAGACATTGTAATGGAAAATTGCGTTGTCGAATCTCAAAAAATGTACGAAATTACTCCCAAGAGTATAGCGCACCGTTTTTATGTTAATAGAGATCACGAATTGGGACCATTTGTATGTTTATTATACCTTCCAATGTGCATCTAATTCTTTTTTACGCGTTCAACTTGTTCTATTAAAAAAGGCATAGAACTATTGCTTCCATGCATAATTTCATAGTTTTGAATGAACGCATAATATTCTGTATGTTCAATAAATGTGCAAATGCAAAAGCAGTTAACCGCATTTGAAGCAATATGGCTCGAAATTATGTGTAGATGCAATAAATTATAGGTTCCGTTCTCATTGCTAAGGGCATAACTTTATGTAGAAAATTTTGCTTAATGGAACTTCGTTTTTTCTACTCTATGAAAATGAGATTTAATTTAGTTTTCTGGATGGAAATAATTTGGAAAGTCGTGTAAAAAAGAATGAGATGTACTCTCAAACATTTCTAACTGTATTTGTATTTTATTAGGACATTACATCCGATATTACACTGGCTGATCTGCAAGAAGAAATGTGCCCTCACATTAGTGCGAATGATTTAACTTACATGTTACGCAATACACCCGAAAAAATGCTAATATTAGACATACGCAATATTTCAGATTTTAATCGTGTGCATTTACCTCATAGCATTAATATACCGTACGTGTCCCTGCAATTTGGAGACAAATCGTTAGACTTTCTAAATGTACCGCAACTACAAGAGAAACTTCAAGGTAAAATCATCATTTGCATAAGCAATATACATGAAAATGCAGTTAAGGTAAAGGCCCTTGATATCATTTCAATTGATGATAATTAATTTATTTATTTCTCTTTGCTTGATAGTTTTCAAAATTTCTGGTGGAATGTGGTGTTTCACAAGTTTGCGTATTACATAAGGGTTTTAACATTTTACATTGTATTGAACCAAATATTTTAATTTCAAATTAATTCAATATCCTTAAGTAACGCTTTCTTTAAAAAATTTTTTCTATGTGATTTTTAAGTCATAAAATGCTAATTTTATTTATTAAAAGGTGAAATTTTTAAATATTAAAATTTATAAACCAGAACGATTTTCAATTCATGAATTTTTATTCATAAAAGTTATGAAAAACTATTAGGCCAGGTTATACACTCTGCGATCTACGCAATTGAGGCAATTGCTGCTAAAGCAAATTATTTAGGAAAATAAATGGCGATTGTGAGTAGGCACGATGATGTGACTCATATCATGAATGTCAATCAGTTTGTGAATACATCTTGTGACGCTTTTTTCCAAGGTGAAAGCAGAAGCCCCGTTCACAGCTCAAGCATTTAAATTTGCTGTGTTACTAGACATTTCATTATAACTCGTTATTTGGAAGCCTTGGCTTCTTGTGGCATTAGCAAGAGTTGTATTCTACAACTATGGTAATGGTTCTTCTCTAACCTAATTTAAAAAGGGATATCGCGGCTCCTAACCGGAAATCTGATATTGATTTGATAACAAAGCTGAAGACAGCTTATTCCCAGATTAGAAAATTGCTCAGCAAGTGCAGATAAACTTTTGAAGAGCGATGAGATCAGTTTAATGATATCTTTTATAAAGGAGAACAATACGTGAATCATTGAAGTTATCTGGGTGTGTCTATTTAAGTCTATTTACGTTTGATACGGATTGCAAAGCACCTAAATGATGGCTATTCAAGATTCAAAAAACGTTCACTTACAATTAAATGCTCGCATACTACTATATGTCCCACCTGTTAATCCAGCGAGTAAAGTTTGTAATGCCAGAGTTATACAATTCAATTTTCTGCTAATTTCTGAGTTAATTCTTGATTCTGGTAATTGAACCTCCATGATTTTTTTACATAACTAAAATGCAAACTTTAGCTTTGTCTCTCTGGGTTTCTTTTATAAAACCAGTTATCAATCTTAAATTACAATATTTATAATTACAATATACAATAAGAAAATATTTAAGATATATTCACTCTGTGCATCAGTGTACTGTTATAGTAAATTCATAACGTTAACCACAAGCATCGGTGGTTCAGTGGTAGAATGCTCGCCTGCCACGCGGGCGGCCCGGGTTCGATTCCCGGCCGATGCATGCTTCATTTTTTTATTACAAATCTCATATTCGTTTTTCTGCTTCACATACATTTTTTCAATTTGATTTTTTTCGAGAAAGCGTGTCAATCGCTCGTGCGAACGATTTTTTGATGCAGACGGCTAAGGCAAGCATTAAGAGAACCTAATGCACTGAGACGCTTCTACAAAATCAGTGTTCAACGTAGTTGATTCGTTGAATATACGGAATTAAGAAATAAAACTTTTTAAGCTTAAAACTATATAGAGCGTAGCAGCCGATTAAATATAAAATAAGGTTGGATGACTATATTCCACAGGTCGATAGGTAAGTTCTCTTATTGGTTGTATACATTTTGGTTTATATAATATATTAGATTTATTAAATGTTCGTAAGTCATTGATAATAAGCTAAACGAGCTTACTCGTTTAGGCAAGACAGTACTCTTTTCTTCGTGGTTTGTATAACTTTCTAGAACATGCGTTCGTTTTCTTTGATTTACACTCTTTTAATTTCTCTTGCACTCCTTTTTCATTAATATAAGAAGGTAAGAATGAAGTGCAGTGCGCGATGAAAGAGAAACTATTGAAGATCGGAAAGTTCAATAGAAAGAAACTGCCGGAATTTATGCTTAAAAAAAATAAAATGAGAAAGAATTTTCGACTTGGGCCATTTTATATGCGAGATGCTGAAGGACTACCCATAGTATATAAATGTAAATTTTTATCGCTTTATCTGTTGCTATCAATAAGTAACGAGAAACAAGCGAAATTTTTTTTTTTGAAAACAAAGGGATACGCCCTGAAAACAAAAAGATAACTTTTTTTTTGCCACCAGGAAAACCACAGCCATCAGCCAGACAGATAGACAGACAGACAGACACGTCGGTGTAGAATTTAATACTGATCGAGAATATATAGGACACGACTTGTATGATTTATTTATGTGATTATAATATTTTGAAACGATTTTGGGTAGAAGCTTACCTCATAAATTGTTATCGAAATTATTTCAAATTTTTTTTTTTTCTTTCAAGAGAAAGATAGAATTTTGTTTAGAATACTTGTATTTTTTCTTCTTCTTCCTCTCCAATTCCGCCGATCAACAACAGATCAATTTACGACACTCAGTAAAAAGGCAACGGTTTTTTTACGACTGTGAAATCAAGTCGGCAGAAATGGTCTGCATAAGTTGTGTGTGCAATTTTGTATTCGTGTTTTATGGAGAATAAGTCCAATATGCCTGATAAATGCACAAGTCGCCTATCTAACGAGAAACGGGCTAACGCTAATGCTTTGAATAAATAAATCGATGATTTTTATTCTTATAGGTTTTATGAGGCTAGATGCGACGTTTTTTATATTTTTTATTTTTCACATTGTTAACGGTTATTAAAAATAAGAAAGGAAAAAAAAAATACAATATTGCATTATCATCGTTACACAATGAAAGAGATTATAAATATTTGAATATATATGTAAGACTAAATAATTACTGTTATCTTAAATATTTTTTTTTACAAAATATGAATAAAAGGAAGAAAGTGTTATTGTTTTTTGTTGATTTTTTTTTTCTTTTGCTTATAACGATTTCATTAAAAATAAATTGCGGCTAATAAAAAGTGTATGTCTGGCTAAATAAATTTATCGACTAATTTTTCTTAGCTGATGTGAATAATTGCTTTTTAATTTTTTTATTATTTTTTTTTTATTTTCTTTTGTCATGATTATTAGTATTATACATATTTAACTTTAAATTGAAAATTATATTATAGTACGCGGCAATATTGCCTCGTGATGTATGTGTAAACGTTCTTAAAACAAAAAAAAAAGAAAAAACAAAAATTGAGGTTAAAAAAATTTAAACATCTATTAGCATATGTTCTGATTAATGTATGTCTATGTGCGTCTCTGTGTATTTATGTGTGTGCATCTGTCCTTGTCCTTGTCCGTGTATATGTATGTGTGGGTATATGTAAGTATGTGTGTATGTTTGTGTCTGTATGTCTATGCTTAAGTTCATATATATACTAAATATTCGATTAGTTTCTTTTCTACGCGATTCATGTAAAATAGTTTCAATTGTCTGTCGATTGCTGGGTTTACTTTTGACTTAAAATATTTGCATTACTATTATTATTATTATTATTATTCATTCTATTTGTTACTTATTGGCGAGAGATTCTTCTACACATATATATATATATGTGTGTATATGTATATATACATATGCATATCAGTTTCGAGTTTTAAATTATTTTCTTTTTAATTTTAATTTAGGAAAAGTTTCTACTGTCTCTTATAATAGGACCAGTTTTCTCTGTATGTATGTTTTTTTTTCCCAGTTCCTTGTCTAAAATATTTATTGATTCTATTGTCTAATTAAATAAAATACGATCCTTTAATATCAGTGGCCTTTGTCTTTTTCTTGAAGTAATTTTCTTCTTTCTTTTTATTCTCTTTTTTTTTTTTTTCTTTTTTTTTTTTTTTTTAAATATTTTCCCAATAAAGTTAACAGATTCTTCGGTATCCTCGGTTTATATATTTACATGCCTGATTCTGCTATACCTTCATCATCTGTAAAAGAAATGCAAAAAATTATTACTTTAAGAAATTTATTACATCATTTAAATGAGTAGAAATATATTTATAAAAAAAAAAAATCAATAATGCTTAGATAGGCTTTTAGTTAACTAATAGATTTCAAGTAGAATTTCGTGATTTAATAAGCAATTTGTACATTCTTGTAGAAACTCTACTAAAGGGTGCTGCAGAATCTACCAAATTATGTAATATGTCTTGGAAGGGAATCTTTGCTATCCATCACCTTGAATCAATTCATAAAAATAATTACAGGCATGTAAGTTAATCATTATCATCATACATTAATTCATACATTATTTTCTTCGTTGATGTTCGTTGGAAATATTTGCATCAATTTTTAAATCAATATTTATTATACGTTATATATAAATAATAGTTTTCTGCTTATTTTTTGGTATATTTATTGGATAATCGCACGAATATATAAATGCGCAACTTTCCGGCGTTTCTTGCGTCTTTGTGGGGCAAGTACGCTCATTCTCAAAATTGATCTATGATTATTCACGAAGTAAAGTAAATAGATCAAATACCGAACCGATAAATAAAAAGGAACGAAAGGCGTGAGAGCGTGACTAAATCAAGCTAGAATTTTACAATCTGATTTGCAGTCAAAGGCAAAACGTTCAAATTATTCCAAGAGATATGATAAAATGATGTATGGCCAGTTGAAATTTCCTAAGGCGGCGAGGAAAGGGATTCATTGCTTGGATGAAAGATCTTATCGCACCTAATATTGCTGCTTTTCAATACCCTGTTTTATTACCTAATATTGCTCCTTTCGTGGGGAGATAAACTATGCTTTAATGGCGAGCATAGATGTGCCGAAACTCTCACCTCCCAGTGGTGATCCCCGGGCTAAGAAGAGTTTAAGGTTTTGGGCTACTAACTCGGCGACGAGTTTCTGAGAGATGGTGGAGGGGTTGGTTGGAAGATGAGCTCTTCACTCAATAGCTGGTTACTACCTAGGAAATATATGAATGAATGGTTTTTAAGTACGTTGAAGGTAGTAGAGACCTATATATCTCGAAGAAAAGTAGTTCATGGTGTTGACTACCAGGAAGTATGGAGAATACGAAGCAAAGTGCGGTTGTTTTTAACAACCGCCCAAAGTATGCCAAAGGCTTTGCAAAATAAACTGGGAGCCACGGGGGTCAGGAGGCTCCCCTCACAAAGCCACGTATGCCTGCGGGTGTCTGGACTCTGGTGTTGTTTAGACCCCTACTCTGTGGGGATTTTCTAATTCGCCAGGGGGCGTAGTACGCTTAAAGTGGCTTGGCACACCGTGGGGTTAAGCCTTTCAGGCAGGAACCCACGTTAAACCCTTGCTACAAATTCTGCTCCTTTCGTGTCTTTTGGAAACGCCTAGAAACTATATATGATTTAAAGCCAAGAGATCCGAGATACGTTATTATGTTGCTATTAGGTCCACAAATAGAATATCTCGACCTTTCGCGATAAAATTCATATTTATTGAAACTATACTTTATATACAAAGTTCCATAGTCGAAGCAGTTACCATCATTATGTATGGTCCTTTGCCATTTGTCGGGTAGTTGACGGATGCCATCACTGGCTCGACTTCCGGTTCGATATGACCTAATCATCAATCTACTTTCGCAGCGTCTTTACCTTTGCAGAGCTGCGGCATCGGTCTGTGTGCCTCAGTAACAATCAGCAAGAGACAATTTTAGAAAATAAACCGTTAGATTGGAAAAGCTTCCCTCCTCGGTTGCTTTTGCTGTTTGTTTTCAAGACTATAATTTTTTGCCTAAAATCTCAGAAACCAGTATCTGATTGCTTGGCAGCTCACTGCATTATCACTCCCGGCCCAAACTAATCATTTTCGTAGCTGCGGCTGAACTTTTTTCCGCCTTAACCCAATTAAAAAGACAAAAAAAAAAAGAAACCAATGGCTTGAATGTTGCTACTTAACGTTCATCTCTTTACGTAGGTTGAACGACGACCTGTAGACAACGGGAACTCATGTCGTACAAGCAAAAAATTCCAAGTTCCCTATAGCGAAAATTTCGGTAGAATTGATTACAACAGAAAAATTTCAAGGTCGAGCTTTTATTTGTACACCTAATATATAATCTGAGTGCTCTTAGCTTATTATCAAAATCGAACCCTGTTTATGGATTATACAAGTTATTTAAAGTATTCTGTCGACTTTTGAATAATTTTAAAAGTTTTTTCAAAATTTCTTTGAGATGAAGAATTAAATTTTTTAGAGCGGTGCCTGCGCCATTCTTGCTAAACTCTTTTGGCATTTTAAGTCGTTGGCATGAGTTCATCATTAAAATTTCTCAGACATCAACTAAAAATCTTTGTAGTTAATTCGATTTGAATTCGATTTAATAGAAGAGAATTTCTCGCAGGTAGGTAAACGCAAAAAATACAAAAAATATAGTGAATGTGTGCGGAGGTTTTGCTGACAATTCCGATTTATCGACTATATGGGCGACGTTCTTGAAACGTAGTCAAGCTTTTGTGAATAATTTGTGACCTTTGCATTGTATCGATGTGTCACGACAACATCTCGCAAAGCAGGCAAAAAGATAATGGGATTGTGGAAAGCCTTAATGCACTTATTGAAAAGTTCTTCACGTTTGAAGGAACTTTACAAAAAATTTAGTATAAGCGAATGAAGCGAATACTTTTAAAAAATCTTAAGATGATCTTAATAGCTGTGAGTTCCCATTATTTGAATTTTGTCTGGAAGTTACGGACGATCAGCTTCCTTCAGCTAAATAATGATATTTCAAAGTTTTATGACTAAGATAAGTAAAAATTAGAAGTAAAAAAAGTGCTTTGTTAATTGCAAAATTTAGAATTTGAAAAAAAAAAATTAAAAAATTAAAAAATTTAAATAAAAGCTTACATGATTTTCAAGCTACCATCCAATGTGTTAATAAATCTTAAAGGTATAGGATATGATACAAACCCATAAATGGATTGGCATATATAACGCCGCCATTTTCACCAATGCCACCTGAACTACAATCACCACCACCGTTATTACCACCAATTGTAACACCGTTTACGCTATAAGCACCGACACCGTTAAGTCCTTTTTTGAAAGTATTTTTTGTGAACTTTGTGTAAGTCTCCCCATCAGCTACAATGGTAGCAATATCATCGTCGTCATTGCGAGTATTACAACTACTGCCCAATAATTGATCATAACAACTAACGTCTGTGCTAATAACATCAACTTCCATATCGTCGTCATCGTCTTTCTCCAAGCTGTTGCGGTTACTTCCACCTAAAGAACTGTGCATGGCGTGTGAATCTTCATAACTACCGCCGCCGCTGTCATCGTTAGCATTATTCGATTTCATTTCGATATGTGTACCATATTCTTCTTCATATAAAGCTTCTTGAGCTTCCTCGTCGACTTCCAATGAACGCCGACGAAAAACTTCATCTTCTAATTCCTGATCAGGACCGCCCGAACCACAACCTGATCCAGAGCCTGAACCAGAGCCAGTATAGGAACCATTCGGTTGACCATTATGACAGTTAGTAACCATAATGTCTTCTTCAGCAAAACTGAGACGGGGATTTGGCATTCCCATAACATTACCGCTCCCAATACTGCCTACCAAACTATTTCTGGGATTATTTTTAAGATGCGAGGTATTGCAATTGTTGGGCGTTATAATTTCGTGACTTAAGCTATTTTTAATATCACAGGTGGAGGCGCTGAAAGTAATTAATTGTGATTTACGTCTGTGCTGTAGGGTAGCATGACCGTTAATAATGATACCACTGCCACCATTCGATAATTGTGTATTCGCACTAAGGCTGCTGGTCGTGTTGCCGCCGATGCTTATCACATCGATAGAATTCTCTTTACAAATCATCGAACTTGGTTTATTATCGACCAGAACAATAACTACCGAATTGTTGTTATCATTCTGATTAACCGTATGTCACCTATCAATTGAGTCCGTGTTACTGTAACCTTGCTTTTGATGAGCACTAGTGCCAAACGTAGTTGTCGAAGCTTTCAAAATCGAACCTTCATAGTCAGTAAGTGGTTGTTGGTCGTCATGTATGACAATAGCATTCTCTTTATCAATAGCTTCCGCTTCTTCCGGATGTAATACTTCTGACGTTTCGTTAGGATGACCTTCAACGATGGCTACTATCTCTCCATTCTCATCAAATGAGATTTCTTGACCTTGTCCTAAGATTCGTTTGTTTTCATTTTTGTTTTTCAGTGTTTTTTTTATATGTTTTTTTTTTTTTTTTTTTTTTTAGTTTTTATTGAATTTCATGTTCAATTAAAATTCATGTATTGATGTAGAGTGTATAATATGTAATGAATTCAATTTGATAGGAGTTTTAGACGGTGTGCGAAGAAGTAGGGAAAGAAAAGATAAATTTTATAATGCTTTGGTTAGTTACAGGCTTTTAACCCAACACCGATGGTGTGATTATTAATCAAAAATATTTAAATAATAAAAATAGAAAACAAAAAACAATAATAATAAATCAAATAAATAAAGCAAATATTATTACATGATGGAAAAATATGCAAAAGTTATGCTTTTATTTAGTTTTCAAATTCGTATATAGCGAATCTTATCCAATCCGTGAATAAGTCACAAAGCTTATATCTGGCGAACCTTGAATATGCATCATATCTGGCACATATATATGTATATATTTTTCTTTAATTGTCAATGCATTAATGAACTACTTGGTAATACTTTTCAAACGCATCTTTATAATAAGCTATATGTAGAAATATACTGCGCAAATTTCAGAGCAGTACCTGACCAATAGTTAATTTCCCGGTCAATTTGATTAGCGAAATTTAACGAAGAATAGTTTTGAAATCTTCGTATTTATGTATTTGACAATTTGAACAACACGTAGACCAGATTCTACAGAAATTAATAAAGTCCGCATTGTCTGGTGGTGAATGCGGAGGCATAAATAGTACAAATAGGAATGTAATATTTTTATGCCCGACATTACTTCCGATACAAGGACATATTAAGTTTCTGCAGATGTATGCAACATGCAGAAGGATTTGATATAGAACCGATCCCACTTTGTTATACTAATCCATTCAGAATAACTTTCTCAATTCATCCAAACTTATCTGTCCGTCCATCTGGTTTTGTTATGTTCAATCTACAGACTGCAATTATTGAGATATTTTGGTGAAATTCGGTATACCGACGTGTTTTGGTCCAAGGACAAGCGCTATTGAAAATGATTAGGATAGGAAAACTTTTTCAACCACTTCCCATATCAAGCCTTACCTTGAGAAGTCCTTAAAGGAGAATATATAATAATTTTTAGAATTTCGGGACAAAAATCGCTTAGTAATATTATTTCGTTATTCTCAATCGATGTGGAAACTTAATATCGGATGAGGCAACTTTTTGAACCCCTTGCTATATAAAACCTTTCCTACGAAAATTGAATCTTTATATGGTCAAAGGACCTAATTTCCAATAATTCTTGTTGAAAATTCCTTTATATTAGTACTTTAACATGAAGATTAAAGTTACCGAATTAGAACCACGTAAATCTGTTTATTGGATCCTAATCAATATAAAGATTCTAGTGAAAAATAAGAGTTCATACGATAAAAAGGTCCAATTTTGACTGATGAAGATTTATCCTTAGTAAATCAACCATAGGAAATTTGGATCATATAAATCTATTTTTTAGGCCGAGCTATATAAAGGGGTGCTTTTGAAAGCAAACCTATCTGGGGCGACAAAAAGAATAATTTGTGGTTTGTTATGACGGAAGCCACTTGGAAATTATAAAATCTTCAAGATATGAATTAAATTTGCTAAATTTAGACAACATTGGCGGCTGAGTATCCTCCAATATGAGGGCTTTCATGAAAATTATGCATTTAAAGAAAAATAATGCATAATATTTGGTGTATTATTAATTAAGCGAAATGATTAGGGTGTCTAATGGCCGACGTTGCACAACTGTAACGTTCTTATTTATGTTGCTTAAAAACTCAGTTTCTCTCAAATTTCATTTTAAAATTCATATTGTAAACCACATCTAAAACGGTTAGTTTTATTACTGTTAAAAAGCTGCATGCAGTTAGTAGAACTTCCTTCCCCTTCTCCATTTATTGTTGGAATACATGGAATTCCAAACGGAGAAATATAGAGCCGAATGTGGATTGAAAAGCATCAATGTATTTGCATCGATAACTTATGGCAATCATCACTGATCTGAAATTTAGTTTGAATATTGACTATCCAGTTGACAAATTCTCAGTTAATGAAAAACGAAAGAAACCTCTCCTTTATTTGATTGATAATAAAAAAAGATTCATTTCAAAGCTCTTGTCTGTTTATGTTTTAATTTTTAATATTCTCTATTTCGATTAATTTTTTAACGTCTAACGGTCTTACGAATTTCACTACAGCATTGGCATCTACCACATCCAAATATTTTCATCCAAGCGTAATTGAGTTTTCACTGAAAAATTACAAATCTATTAGAACAATGCAATCAAACCTCGGAATTTTAATTGGAAGTATGGATATGCCAAGCATATTTATAAAGGATAATATTAATATTTGCATATTTTTCACATCATGTTTAGAGTAATCTAAATAAATCCCCCTCCCTCCCCCCCGCCAAAAAAAAAAAACAAAAAATATATGCATAGATATTTAAAATTTACCTTCATAACCCTCATTGTCATGAATTTCTCGGGGAGGACCTACAATATTTTCTTTACCCTCTAACACAGCCAATAAACACTGATGTATACATATATATTGTTGTTCAGTTTGAACCATCCATATGCGTTCTGAAAGTGTTAAAAGTTAAGACTTGTTAAATAAAGCGTTTAAATATATATATTTGCGTACCTTTTCTCATGGCAAAGACAATGCCAAATATATCTACATAATCTGAGGTATTAATCTGTTGCAATATACGATCTAATGTAATAAAAGTGCCCGAACGACCGACTCCAGCACTACAATGTACTACAATAGGCCTTTGATCTGTGCCGATGCGATCACGAAATGCTCTCACGAAGCGTACTAGAGTTTGCGGTGGATTTGGGACACCGAAATCGGGCCAAGTTGTGAAATGAAAGTGTCTTACTATTCTTTGCTCACTACCCTAAAATTTTATTGCATTAGTTATGTACAAATAATACAAGCAAGAGGTATTTTTTTGGTAATTTAAAACTTACTCTGCACACCATAAATTCAGTCATTATCCAATCAGGATAATGGCTTGCATTTAATATCTGTACTTTAATGTCGCCGTAAAAGACTGGAACCGTGTCGTTAGGCCAGTATTGATCACATTTCTCACGACCTTTCTCAAAGCAGCGGGTTAACATGACAATGGCTCTAGAATTACTTTCCCAGCACATACGCCAAAAGTCATCACGCGTCGAATGTAAGGGACCCTGAGTAACTATGAATTCACGCGGCGAATTATGGCCCGGCACGTAATTGGCATTAATGTAATCTGAGCCCTCATCGTCGTCGACCGGCTGCAATTTGAAACGCGAATGATCGTATGGCAAAATATTGGTGAAACGGTTCTTTGGACGATTGCATGGCAAATCAGCAAAAGTGCAAGGCAAATCCCGACCGACATGTTTTAATTCATCGAATTCCTCGCTAAAGCGAAAATCTGAATCGGCCGACATCATGCGATAATGTTCCGCGAAATTTTTTATTAATATAGGACGATTTTGTTCGATTACGCTATCCGGCAGTGACATATTGTCATTAGCTCTTGAATCCTTAGTCGTTTTACGGCAGTTATTACGACGCCGTTTATAAAAGACCAGCGTTACCAGCAGGATCAGAATAATAGTTAAAGGAACGGTGACGGCCACAATAAGCGAAGTATTATCTTGATCTATTTCGAAAATGAATTGGAAAAAGGAGTTCGAATTAAGAAAAAGAAAAAAAAATGAACAATTGAAAATGTTGAAAGAAAATTCTCCCCTTAGTTGTAGTAGTTTTTCGTTCACACTTACCGTTTGAAGTTAGGAGATCTTAGATTTTTGTTTTTAAGGGCAAGACATATAAAGTAATTTTTTGAAAAAGTTGTCAATATACCCAGACATATAAAATAATTTTTTGAAAAAGTTGTCAATTTACCTATGAAACCCGTAAGCCCAAATTTTATAAGACCCCCGCTTATTATGTTCAATATTCTTACCTGTTTGTATTGCAAAACTATAGGCGGTGTCGGTGAATTTATCGGGCGCTGTAAATGCGCGCACCTTTACGCGATAGGTGGTGCCCGATTTTAGAGGGCCATTGCAATAACCAATTTTCCGATTTTCACAATTATCTGTACCGATAGTAAAGTCTTCAACTGAGCGATTTTCAAATGGATAATACGGATCGACAGCTTGATATGGTAGCCATACGCTATATGATTGAACGTCATGCCAACTTGGCATTTCTAAACCTGAGGCGTTCTTGGTATCGTCTTCGGCGACAATTATCGTATACCAACGCACCTGTAATGCAAAGTAAAAAAAAAAAAAAAAAACAAACAACAATTCTATGGTATTTTTTCTTCATGTTCGTCGTCTAGAACTTACTGGACCGTTTTGATCGGAAAAATAATTCTTACGGAAACGTATTTGTATTGTCGATGAGCTGCGGTAAACTTCGGTGGGTACCACTTGGGTTGCCGGTCTAGGGGGCGCCAATATTGGCATTGTTTGTTTAAATTCTCTCTCAGGGCCGTAGCCAATGGATGTCTTTGCTTGAATTTTAAATACATATGTTTCGCCGGGCTTTAAACTCTTTATCGATCCTGTGGTTTCAGATGAATCAAAATCTACTGTTCGCCTTTCGCTGCCGTTATTTATGTTTACGTATGTAATGGAAAATTGACGTATTATACCATTAGCTTCACTTTGCGGCAAAAGCCATTCGAACAGTATTTCACTCGGCTCCACATTTATCGGATGAAATCTTTCAACTTTACCTGGCACTGCTTCATTAGTACTGAAACTAGCAGACAGCGGTGAACTGCTACGCAATACTGATGATTCTGTGCCAGATCTCACTACTACAGTAAATGTATAATTCCTATGTGGTTTTAAATCCGTTATAGTTATTTCGTTTCTATTGGTTATATTCTGAGCTAAAATATTATCGGCGGTGAGATATTGAACATCGAAATCGTTGAATTCTCCTTTTGGTATATCCCACCTTAAAGATATTTCTGTGTCGCTAATGTTGGTGGCGTGCAATTGCGTTATCGGTTCTGGGAATAAGCGATCTTGTCTCTGTATAGGTAAACTGGACACACCTCCACTTACTGTCCATACAGTGATGTTGTATAAACGGCCTGGCACTAAACCAGTAAACGTTACTTTACGGTCAGTATCGTTGGCTAGTTTTTCTTTATCCTTGATTTCAGGATCACCTAGAGAGAAGCGGTAAATGTCAAATTTCGACGATGACTGTGGTGTGGGCGTATACGACAATGTAATCGTATCTCGTTCGTCCTCTTGTTTATCGTTGACAACAACAACTTCAGATTGTATAAGAGGCATAGTTCGTGTGGAAAGATGAGTCGTTCCCGAATATATGCCATATGAAGTAGTCTGAATATCAAATTTATATTGCACACCAGGCATTAATTCTCCAATTAGTACTCGCACAGTGGAAATATCATCAGCTGTAGGGAAAAAAATTGCATAAGTATTGTGTTTATCGGACTTGTGATATAAGACTTACTTGACTTATTTTCCGAGACATTTTTGGTTTGTGTTTTTGCTGGACTGTCCGTAGGCCACCAATTCAAAATATATGCCTCAACACGACCTTCAGGCTTAGGCCACTCAAGGGTAATATTACGTGAATCCACCAAAGGTATAATATTTGAAACTGGGTTTGGCGGTACAGTGGTATTTACTTCTTGGGGTGAGGGACTTTCCACGCCAAAACTAACAGTGTTCACTTGTATCGTATACTTCTCACCTTTCGTCATATCTGTAATTTCCGCTTCCGTTGTGCGTACGCTAGGTAAACGAATCCATTGCTGTTCACTTCCGGTACGATAACGTATTATGTATTCGGTAAAATTGCTATTTTCTGGCGGGAGCCAATGTGCTAAAACTGAATTACTTCGCACCGTCTCAATTGTCAGATTTCTGGGAGGAGTTGGATCTAAAAAAAATCTCAAAATCATTAAAATGGTTTTATGTAAAAGAGAATATCGAACTTACAAACTGCTTGAAAATAAGCATGAGGTTCACTTCTCAGGCCGTGGCTTACAGCGAAAACTTTTACTTCATAGCCCGCGCCGGGATAGAGATTTTTAATAACAAGTCTTGATTCTTTAGTAAACACTGTGCGCACTTCTGAAGTACCGTTGCGGGAGTATAATACTTCATATTGTTCCTGTTTAGAGTTTACGTCACTTTTCCAGCTAATGTTTAAACCCATTTTTATGCTCTTCAAATCTTCTATAATAGGCGAGGATGGACGTGTTACTACAAATATTGTCGTTTCATTGGATTCCATTTTCTTCGAGAGCGCTTGCACGGAAACTGAATAATTTCTTCCAGGCAATAGACTTTCCAGACTAAAGCGTGTTCTTTCGGTCGATAGAGTGCTTGTGTCGCCATTGAAAGTTTCCAATTCATGATAAACGATACGATATTCATCTTGGGCGCTAGCCGGATCCGGTTCCCAAGCAATAATCATACTACTTGTCTTATCGTCGTTAAATGAGCGAAGATTACGCACTGGCAAAGGTCTTAACGTAACATCACCTGTAGCGGGCCAAGAAGTCACTTTACCTGAGACCGTCTTCACTATGACATTAAACGTTTTGCCCGGTTCAGGTATATCGCGAAAATCAAAATAAGCAGTGGTATCATCAGTTCTAGGTACATTCGATTGACGTCTCGAGGCAGCAAAGGAAACTTGATATTTATCAAATTCAGAAACGCCTTTTGGTGCTTCCCATAGCACACGAAATGAATTCGACGTAATAAAGTCTTTATCAAAGGTTACGTTCAACGGTCGCAAGGGCACGGTACGATATTGAGCTGTTGTTGGTAAGGAAATTTCATCTTCTGACATAGTTTGAACTGAAATATTATAGGCACGACCGGGTACCAGGCCTTTAAAGGCTGCCTGAGCTGGACCGGGTGGTTCACCTTCCTTCTCGACATACAAAACACTTTCTAGGGCATCAGGTGGTTCTATAGACACTTTGTAATGCGTATATATGCCAGCTGGATAAGGTGGCTGCCATAAGACAAGTAGCGTTGTTTCATTACGAAACCAAACGATAAATTTACCCGGCGTATTAGGTTCTGTTGCAGACGCCGCACAATATACGTTTTACATAAACATAACCATGGTAGTACGAATGATGAGACAAAGGAGAATAAGAGCGAAATGATACGATGAAGCCGAGCATACACAAAATATTGTGTGGATAAAAAAAAGAGAAGAAATTTTTTGGGAAAAAAAAGGAGTTGAATGATTTTTGGTAAAAATTGTTGAAAATCTTTGTAGAATTTTATGTAACATTGTTTTTATGAATAAGTGATTAAAGTAAACGCATGCGTTCTATGTAGAAATATATGTAAGCATTCTCTGTTATTTGTGAAGCATACGAATAAAGATACATTCTTTAAATTTTAGGTATATCAGGTATGACGGATGCTTAAATAAATTATTCTTATCACCAATATATTTAATGCTTGTGTTAGTTTAGTTTTTGACACTAAGTAATGAGAGACTTTCCACGATGAGTATATATGCACGATTTCGTCATATCTATCCATCCATCTGCCAGTTTATTGATAAATTTCTCAAAGAACAAAGAGACCGCTATCTGATGTTTATACTGTGAAAAATTGAATATAATTAAATATAATTCTATAAAAAAATCCCTTGCGCTGGTGTCAAAGGATTGACAAAGCTAGCGCAACCCATATTTCATCATCATTGGTGGCAAAAAAAAAAAAAAAAAATTGAAAATTTTTCTAGTAAAACTGAATCTGATCTGATTTTTGACATTAATTCATTTGATAACCTACTAATCACTCTGCCTAGACATTGCCGAATGGACAGTGGATATCAATTACATAAATAAAAAGAATGCATAATGTATGAGAGAAAAATTAATAATTTTTTTTTTTCCTTTTTTTTTCGTTAATTACTCATATCGTATTTCATATGCAGGATATTAAGGTTAAGGTATTCAGAAGACTTTTTCAAATAACTTCGGACTTTTCGCAGTGCAATACAGAGTAATGAAAATGTCAACCAATTCAATATCTAATGTTTCGAATGTGATAAGCTTTGCATTAATATATAAATGTTTAGAAGTTTCAGATCAAAGCGGAGAAAGGGTGTAGGCGCCAATATCACCAATCGAAATTATATAGTTACATAATTCTTGATATTGCAAACAGATACCTTTATGGCTTTAACGTGGATATACTACCGCGAGGGTTTCCGCCCTCGGGGGTTTGAAAGCCGTAGGGGCAAAACGCGAATTCAACATCTCGATGTTGATTAGTCCCCGAGTGCTGGATGGACACGTAGACATGAATGGTGAGGCTTAACCTTCATCTTTTGAAAGGTCATGCGCACCCGTGTTCGTGGATATTGCAAACAGTTCGCTTCTGTCTCCCTTTAATAGGCATGCAAATTTGTTGCCATAAAAGGTCTGTCATTAAGGCAATGCAACTAAAGAGTACCGAATTCTCACTTTTAGGAAAGCATTTCCTCGCTTTTATAGTTTAATAATAAAAATCGCTAGCTGTTCTAAAAATTTCGACCCAGCTCTACCTTGCACAAAATTTAATGTAAGCTCCGTCCATAGCAAAAGTCCATTTTCATTCGTTTCTCTTAAAGTCAAGCCATAATGTTTTAATTCGGTTCTCTTGTTATGCTTAAGTTTGCTAACTTTGTTATTTGTTTTTGAAATAGTTCGCGTTTCAGCAACATACGCCAATTATTCGTCTCCGATTAATAGTTACAATGGCGTGGAAAAATCCGATCTATTGAAAATGAGATTCGATAAATGGTACCGTTATTGAAAAACGACCTGTAAATGATAATATTTTGTGATGAAGCGTCCGCAAGACTAAGGGTGTCCTAAAATTCACGCAAAATTTGAATTGTATCCCACTTGTGCGGTAAAGCATTCCTAACAAAAAAGGAGACTGCTTGACAGCTAATAGTTCAAGTGTATTGAACATTAGGAGTTATATAAAAGAACAACATAAGCATTGTAAAAATTACGAAAGTTTGGCAGTCACAATCCGCAATTCTCGTCATCTTCAGCGACGAGGTTCGTTTTCACTTTGACGGCTTAATCGAGAAAATTGCCTCATTTAGGTGACAACGTATGCATCCGCAATGCATCACTTTTCGATACGGATTTTGGACTGGACGAATCATCGGACCGTTTCCTTTCGAAAATGTAGCTGATCAGGCAGTAATAATTAATGAATGGTTTTTGCGACGTGATAATCACGTATTTTGTACCTAAATTGCAAGGCATGGATGTGGACAAGATGTGATTTCAAAACGAAACGCTGACAGATATGATTTGCGTATCGAAAACTGCTGTACGTAATATGTTGAGTAAAAACCACGGTAGGAAAAGGTTGCAGGCGATGCGGGTGCCACGATGGGATGAAATGAGACGGGGTCGTAAGAACGTTTCAGCCGAATGTTCAGCAATGTTCTTTCCCGGCAATGATGTCGAATTTTTGCGGCGCTTCATAACAAACATGGGAATAGTTAAAATAATAGATCGAAATGAGAAAATCAACCCTCTTGACGGGGAATGATCCATTTGCTAGTAAGGTCACGGTATCACTTTTGTTGCAATCCGCTTGAAATAATTTTCATTAATTAGTTTCAAAGGTAAAAACAATCAACCTTGAGTAGTATGTGTTAACAGTTTGTGTGATTAAATTAAGAAACATCAGCGGCATTTTACGGGTTCGTAGATGAAAAGCGCATCTATCAAGTTGATATGTTCAGGTTGAAACTTTGAATGCGTTAGATCAAACTTTGCATTAACGATTAATGAGTGGTCGCAAGCTTTAGAGAAAATGTCCGATCTAGTCACAAAAAACAAAGGATTGGCTGCCCAGATCATGCGATTGAATGACATTTGACTTTAGCCGTTGGGTTTTTATGAAATCTAAGCTTTGCGCCAACAAGCGCACAATCACTTATAATTTAAAGAAGAAAAGCGATCGTTGTATCACAAGCCGCCTTTACTCAAAACCATCAAAGAATATTTCAAGAAAACATAATGGTGATCCCAGCAAAAGTCCTGAAGGCTATTTATCCAATATCCTAGCTATTGCGTGACTAATTCTATACCGTTGACTTTATAAATCCATAGAATCGTATAAATTAATAATTTTTATTCATAAATCTGCCCTTCCTATCTGAATTACATTTTTTTACGACATCATTTATTCTCGCTTTTTAAAGTTGTTTAGAATCTAAATGCAGATGATTAGTAGGATTTAGACATGCCAGTGATATATAGCATTATAGAATTGTAATGTTAGAAAGTACTTACAGAGGTCAAACAATTAAGATAATTATATTCAATCGTCAATCACTTGGTGTAGCTATCGTCACCAAAATCTTAATCTTACTTTATTAGCAATCATCGATAAGGCGTTACTTGTCGGTAATTTCCGAAACGAATTTAATTTTCCCGCTATTATTAGTCCATTCAGTCAAATTTTTTACTTGGCTTGCGGACAAACTAAGGAAACTTGGGAAGAAGTTTCACTTTTGTGTTTTAATATTTTTGATTTTGGGAATTTTATGGGCGGACATGTAAGGTGAGTGATAAGTGGTGAGATGAGATCACTAAGTGAGAACAGAATTTTCTTGAACATGACATTTATATAATTCATGATTGTAAACAATATTGTTACCACCACGTTGCCGTGGTTTAAATCTCAAATGCGATAAAGCCTATTGGTTACCCTTAGAAGCTACTGCTTTCAGACTCTCTCTTACTGTTTGAATTGGTTTCTCTGGTTAAGTTAATTATAAGGAATCGATTGTTCGATGAAGAAACGCTCGCATTGAGGAGTAAGAGTGAGAGTTTCGAGTTGAATTGCCGATCGGTGTTTTGGTATTTTTTTTTTTTTTTTAAACAAATATTTTATAATATTTTTATATAAAAATTGTTTTTATTAAAATAATATAATATAATGTAATAAATATCAAGTGCATAATATTTTAACCATTCACCGTCTACACAATATGTACACAAAATATAGAGAAAAAAAATGTTTTTTTGTTTTTTTTTTTGTTTTTAAGAATAAGAAAATAAATATACAAAAATAAATATTATTATTTTGATTAGGATTAATATTAATTATATTATTCATTAATTTGTAATTGTTATTTATTTTATTAATTAATTTATTTATTTATTTTTTATTTTTTTTATTTTTTTGCTTTTGGGAAAACCTTTACCTCTTAATATTTTTATATCCAGCAAATCTTTAGGGCGTGTCCTCCTTACTTAAAAAATCCAATTGCATTTTCATTTCAATGTTTTAGTAAAGCGTATAAAATTTGATAAATTAGACGGAGTGAATAAGAATCAAAGTTTAGTTTTATTATTAACCACAATTATATTATAACCAACAGAAAGAAAAAAAAAACAAAAAACAAAAAGGGAAGGTACCCATGACGCACACAATTGTGAAATAAAAATTAGTAAGAAAATAATTATCAATTATGTCAATAATAAAAACAACAATAAAACAATATTAATAAAAACATTTATTATTATATCGTATTTTTGTATCCTTGCGTGACTTACTTGTAGTAAAGTTACGGCTCGTATAAGCAACTGATTCTTTGCCATCGTATATCGTATATGCTTGAACTTGATATGTTGCACCTGGCGTTAACTCTTTTGCACTATGCTGGAATGTACTATCGTTTACTAAAAACGTACGATTGTACGAACTGGTCGCTTCGGATAAACCCAATACTTTAATTTTAAATGCCGTATAATTGCCTTGAGTCGGTGGGGACCATGAGATTATGGCGTTTTTACTGCTCCGCACTTGAACTGATAAATTCGAAGGGGGATCGGGCGCTAAAAAAAAAAGAAGATAATTTTTTAAATTATACAAATTTTTATATAAGGCTAAAATGAATATACATATATATGTATATATATATATATAATTTAGACTACGTTAGTTGATGTTTTGAGAACTTTCATGAAAATTATCCATTTACATAAAAATAATGTATCATTTTTGGGGAATTCTTAAGAGAATGGGTAAATGACTGTGTTAGGCAAAGTAGTCTAGGATATGTAACAGACGGTCATGCCCAACTATATCATTTTTATCGGTTTATTAAACTACTCTCTTTCCGCCAAGAATCCCTAAAAGATTATCGAAGTAGTTTGTAGATTTCAAGAATGAAAATTTTTGACTTTCCAATAATAAACATGTATTTTCATATATTGAAGTGCAATTATATATATATATATATATTACTTGTCAAAGATTTTATAATTTTCCAGTTGTACTTCCGTGAAAATAAATTAATGAGAGTTCCTACATAAGGTGTGGTCTAAAAAACGAATCTATGTGATCTAAATTCCCAATAGTTAATTTAATAAGGACCAACTTTCATCATAAATTATTAAAAATTGAACCTTTTTGGCATATAGGTTTCTTATTTTATCATTCAAATTTTTGTATGGGTTCGGGTCTAAAAAATAGACTTACGCGGATCAAATTCGGTAAGGTTAGTTCTTATGTCAAAATCTTATATTACGTAAGAAATATTGAAAATAAAGTCTTTTTCTTATATAAAGATTCAGTTTCCATATAAACAGTTATATGGTAAGGAGCTCAAATACTAGTGCTAAGCAAAAAAGTGGTGCGATTCGTACCATTTTTGTTCTTGGGCCAACATAACTTAGGTCACTTTGTTAAATTTCATCAGAATATCTCGATAAATTTGGGATCTCTAGGTTGAACACAACCGTAAATGGTCAAATATCAGACGGGCGAAGAGATAGATAAACTTGGATCGATTCCGAAAATGATCGATACAATAAAAGTTGAGTCTATCTTAAGCATATGCGGCTGTTACATATGTCCGCACCACTTTAGACATGCCCTGTAATACAATTCAATGTTCAATTTTTTATTGATTACGCGCATATCTAACTTTGAGATTCTTTGCTAACTTCTTAAATACTTTTAAGAGGAAATTGCTTTCGGTCGTGGGCATTTGAATTCGTCTGACTAGGGCAGTTGCCATGAGTAGACATATGGCAGGCAGACGGACATATAAACTTACCATTGTAATAGATGGATCTATCCCAAGTTCTGACAAGGGCAGATGACGATTGCAATGGCTAATCATAGAACAAGCTGATTACTTGAATAGCCTTAAGTAAGTAAAGAGGACGTCAATTACATGAAATCATTTTTAAATAAAAATTAGTAAAAACACTGTAAAGTTCGTCCATTCACGGGCGATTTTCAAAGTTTCCGTTTCAATTGCATAGCATTTTATGTATTAATGGAATCGTGTGGGCAAAAGACATTTGTATATAACTAAACAGCAATCAATTCGAGATATTGTTAAACACTTACCTATTTTAGATAAATAAGAAATGGCAGCAAGCATATTACAAGCTATTAGTGTGTTTGTGTTTAGGAAACGAGTTGCTTTTAATTGTGAAAATTTTGTAAGCAAACTTTCAAACTTTTTAAGTGATATTCTAAACGATTTTCTGTTGCATTTTTTTTTTCCTGCTTTTTTGTTTTTGTGGCTTTCCTATACAACCAAAGAAAATAATGCTTAATTACTTATAGTCATTGTTGGAACCGAAACTGTCAGTTTTCTGTTAGTAGGAGAAATAGAAAAAAAAAAAAAAATTGATACCCGGCAAAAGTATACGACATGAATTTGGCAGATATTCAATCTTTTTTCCCATTTAATTGCTTGTTATGGTTGTGGGGCGCAAAAAAACCGTTTTAAATCTCTTATCATTCAGTAATTTTTCATTGTGATTTTAAGGTTATATCTTTAGTTCACTTCGCAAACTAGTTGTTTGGGGGATTTTTTTTATTTATTTTTTTTTACACATGGTTTAGCAACTAAGAGGTCGCCGTTTAATTAGCGTTGTTGATTAAGTTATTTAAAACTAGTACTTAATTAAGTGAATTAAAATTAGTTGGTATAAAACCCCACACAATATTTCCCCTATGGTAATGACATGGAATTTGATAGCACTATTATTAAAGTTAGTTGGAATAAGTTTGTTGGTTACATTAGTCATTTCTATTAATTCATATGGTTTGCAATTGAGAATTTTACTCAATGAATGCAAATTAAATCCGGTTGCTAACGTTTTAGAGAATAAGAAAATGTCTAATTAGATGATAGTTGAATGATTATGATGTTTCGACGAATCGATTGGAAATTATAGAGAAATAGATGGAACAATTACAGTGGAACACGGCCCACCATTAAACACGCTGCATCATTCTGCGCTTATTAATATAATGACATTTCAAAATAGGATGTCATATTGAAAGTAATCGAAAAAGAGGTCCGCTTCGAACCATTTGCAATAGCACTTGTCCTTGGGCATGTACCTTATTGCATCGGAATATCTTAAGCATTGCGGCCTGAAGTTTGAACCAAAGAAGACAAAACATATAGGCGGACCGATGGACGGACAATCTTAAATCGATTCAATACAAGTGTTGTAGTGTGTGTATAAAAAGTCTATGATAGCCATTGGAATAAATTGAATCGTTTACTTAACTTCTATCGAGACCGAGACGTATAAAAGTGTTGTTCAAAATAAATTGGTAACTGATCATAAGTTACGTTTGTAAGGAACAATTATCGTGTTCAGCGTTCACGGTCTCTTTTGCTTCTTATTTGTGTTTACAAAGCTTTACAAAAAAATAAACTATGCATTTTGGGTATCTTTTGGAAAGTTACATTAGGAGTAGCCGATTAGATAAGAATGGCGACTTATTCGCGGGTTCAAATCTCAGGTACGGTAGAGTTTACTTCTGGTCGTAGCTATAGCCATATAAAAACGAGAGACATCAACAGCCGACAACTTTATCTTGTCTTTGTGCTAATTCGTCGAAAGGGAGTATAAAAATCTAAATGTGGCTCCTATTCAACTAAGTTGGGGCGCCCCATTTTGGCAATATGAATGCAATTTCCATTCCGGGAACTTTTCTGTTAACCTAATATGTTTTTTATGAGTTATCTGAGTGCTTTGCACTTTAACTTTTTATAGTTGTTTATGGTGGGGCCTTTTTTACGCATTTTCAAATTTTATTACCTGAATAACAATATTTATGCACTTTTATCCTACCGCCCGTAGGTGGTGTAAGTGAAAGCAAAAAAACGAATCTGAGCGATGTACGTTGCCTTCGTTTACCTCAATTTAAGTAAACTTTCACTAATAATATGAATACAAAAATATTTTCTTTCATTTTTGATCTGTCATGACTACATATGTACGCTCGTCTGGTTGCCTCCATTTCGTACACTCTTTGCTTTTAAATTAAATGCACCCATAACTGTCACTGACGGCCTAACTGTTGTAAAGGAATATTTAGCTTTAGTTATTTGTATTACGAATGAACGGATTTCATTATTTCTCTATCAGCGCCTCTCAAACACGATATATCAGCAATGCAGTCCTTAATTGAATGTTATGACTGTCGAACACACGCGTACACATATTTAGCATAACATTTTAATTAAGGCATACAAACAAATGAATAATAAACATGAAAATTATGTATATGACAATAACAATAACAATAACAATAATAATCATAATAATAAAATTAGTTATAACAACAACAATTACAGTAATCGAAAAAAAAAAAGTACAAAAAAAAAAATGTTTTTTGTTAGTTTATATAAAAATCATAAATAAAAACCTTTCAATTATAGATAGATACATAAACTTACCAGTGGTTATGGAGACCGTCCACGTCAGCCAATCATGATGCGTAAAATTTGTATAATACAACCAAAAATTATATTTAGTGCCAGGTAAAGCACGTGAAAATTGGATTTCATCGCCAATCTCATTTGAGGCGATTGTTGTATTTGGCTCAGGAAACCCGTATGGCGGACTGTAGTCTAAACGATAGAAGGCATCGTCCATGCCCTGATTATTCGGTATACTTATGGCTAAATCGGCACAATCGACGTTCTGCAAGGGAAATAAAAATTCAAATCATTTTTATTATAATTGTTTTACACAAAATTGCACTAAAAAAACTTACTATAAATAAAACAAATAGAAGAAAACAAATTGTTTCTTAAGATTTAATTGTATTACCTAAGCGAAACTTTATTTATATTCAAAATAAATTATTATGGTTTTAACATGGCAGATTAATATTTATGAAGCAAGTTTATAATCGAAACAATTATTATTATTATTGTGTGTGGACAAGTCGGCTCGGGACTTGAAAGATCTCTTGTACTCGCCCAAGCCTTTAATCCTTCAGTTTGAGGATTCGTAGGAACTCTGCCGCCTTCTTTGGCGCGGAACGCCATACCTTGTCTAGCGTTAAACTTGGTATCTGATTCTTAAGATATGATGAGACATTTCGTTCGTACCTTGGCGAAATCCGTATGAATTGGTATCAGATATGTTTTGCAAGTGAAACTTGACAGTATTGTGGCCTATATCGAAGCCGGTGATCAATCGTAGGTCACTCATTTTTAGTTCCAGCAGCCTATGTACCGTACCGTTCCAATGCCAATCCGACCTTACTTGCCTATTAATATGATTGCTTGGTACACCGCAGAAAAGTTGCGAATTTACCATGGTCCCTCGGGCCCCCCGATTAGCTAGTCAGTCAGTCCTTTCCTTGCCTTCAATGCTTAAATGGCTACCTAACCCATTAGGTGCACCTCATTGTGTTTGCTCAGCTCATTAAAGACTTGGAGATTCCAACACGTGCCTATATATATGGTATTGTTTCCCTTCTCAAGGTCTTTACATTGGCTTGGCTCGGCTTGGGTCGGAGTAAATGCTGAATTGTGACAGTATTAGCGTTGCGACGCAGTGTTCCGTTATCTTGACAAAGGGCCCGTTCATGAAGTCTTTTAAGACACACACATAACAGACACACGATGTAAATTGCTAGTTTTAGGTTTTATTTACAATTCTTAGAAGATCTGCTTACAAATTATTTACAGGAACATATAGTTAGAATGCTTGAATATGACGGCTCAACTCAATTGACTCGACTAACTTTGCAAACACTTTACAAATTACTAATAACAAATCTTCCTGTGACATGTTCATCCTGATCCTTTTACCTATGAAATGGTATGCGAATATTGTTGTTAATCTTCTCGCCAATCATCGTATGCGTCGACATTTTTGCGATTTGATTTCCTAGATTAGTTTTATTACAAACTCATTTTATTAAATCGCATGGGATTTTCGTAACGATATATTTACCAGATGTTTATCAATTTATTTATTATGTCTACGAAGGGGTTTTTTCGAAACTCATTTATGCTTCGCATAACTTTTGTATAGTAGTAGAAAATGAGAATGAGTGAAAGTGACAGATCGTATAAGTATGGCGGAGTATGTCCCTATTCATAATGAAAATCACGATAGCAAATGGCTTTTTATCAACGATGGTATTTTACAGTTACTGTTTCTAACGAATACAAATTATCATAGCAAGCGTAAAAAAAGCATATACATTGTATATATGTAAAGAAAAATTAAAACCAGATAATAGTACAAAGATTTTGTCTTCTTTTCGCGGGTTCCACTTTCTAAAGTTGAAGATACTGGTAGATATCCCATCAGTCGTGCAAAACGGAGACAATAGTTCAAGAGAAAAATTTTTTTATAATGGCATTATAATGATCATTAACATACAAAAAATTTTGTACTATAATAATATAAGTAAAGCATAAAGTATAAAATATGAGAGGAGAACTGGGGCATGAGCGGAGTATAGTACGATTTACGGAAGTGGAAATTGAACCCACGTATACCGCTTTCGCAATTTATCGCGTTTTTTATGTACGAAGCTGCCCGATAGCCCGTGAAATGCGACAAATTTTCCATGAGTTCATCGCTCAAATGGTCGCATAATCCTCGCTGTTAATTATTATATTATATTATATTATTATATATTATTATTATATTTGTATTCAATAGAAATTATTTCACTCGCATTGCAAAAAAGGGAAGCCAGAATGTTGCTAACAAATGGTACCTTGCTTCTTCTTTTAAAGATAATGTTCTTCTTTCGGTCCATTATATTAGCTCTTCATTTGCTTCATTGGTTATTCACGGCTATGAATCGGCACACAAGCTGGACGTTATTGCCTAGAAACACTTGGATGAAACATCCTTACTATGCTATTGTGTTGTGTCATAACTTGGCAGCCATGTCGCTTACAACTTTTCATCATCATAATTTTTATCCAACATAGGATGTACAGCATAATAGGATATGCACATCATATCTGTTACCTTGCACGCTATCGATGCAATCGGCCATTGACGATCATTTAGACAGTAGACTCTTTTAGAGCAAAAGTTAGCTGGCGGCTTTAATTTGGGTTCGCTAGACACCTCTCTAATGAAAGTATAACTTTAATCATATAAGGATGGCCAACTTTTTCTACTTTTAAAAATTCACTCAGAGCTCTCACTACTGATGGCTATCAAATAAATACTCAATAACGTAAGTATCTTCAACCACTGTTATCTTTTTGCAGACATCAACTGTTATTACATTAATATATAAATGTATATATGGTCAGGCCAAGTACTTTTGGGATTATTCGCGTAACAAACGTCCCCATTTAAAAAGCAATACTGTTTTTCTAAATTCGATTGGAAAGTTTGATGCGTTTATCCGAAAAGATATATACATAGATACATATATATAGATACATATATATATATATAGGCATAATAAGATATGTGTAGATAAGGGTTACTAAGATGGATGTGGCTGCACTTTTTTAAAATTACGACAAAGTCAGTTTATCGAGTCTATTTGACAGCAAGATATTCGTTTGCATGGACTTGTAAGTGATTGCTTCCAAAGTGTTTCAAATAGACTGCGATTATGTAAATTTTTCCAGTTACCATTCATGAATACTTTAAATCTTCTATAACGTTGAAATCTTTGCCATTGAAATTGCAGCGAATGAGTGAGTTATCAGTGTGCGGCCTACACCAGATATCATAATAATAGTTACAGTTTATTGCAATACATGTCAGGCAACTTTTTTGGCGGTTACATTGGAAAGGCATTAAACTCATTGTTGGCATCGTTTTAGTTTGTTGCATTTTTGGCAGCGACGATGGAAACGTAAGTCACAAAATGAAGAAAAACTTGTAAAAAGTGGTTTGCAAGTATTTGATACAACAAAAAAAAAGTTCGTCATAAGCTAAACATAAAAGATTATTAAATATTATACATAACATATATACGTACATATATTTACAAATTTTAAAGCATATGCACTTTCAAGGCATCAAGGTTCATAAAATATGAAATAATTGAATTCTTTTTCATAGCCTCCTTTTCTTTTTTGAACTCAGGACAAATTCTTTTTGGGTAACAGAAATGCATTACTCGCGTAGCAAAGCGCAATGGGAAACGCTAACCAACCGGCGATTGTTCTATATTCAGAGAATCAAATGTCAATCAAAGGGTTCAATAGGTATCACAACTACACTGGATGCTATACTTAATTGTGGGCATTTTAGCAAACTGATTGAAATTATTTTTGGGCTGAGAAAATTCAAAGGCTGTGAAGATAAATTCGAATTTAACTAGCAAAGACATCAACCATTTCCAATAAGAAAATTTTGATAACGACTTAACAAAGCTCTGTTAAATAATTACAATTAAGATATAGTTGGATTTGAAAGCCTACTCCTCCCATATTAAAAAAATGAATATATTTTTGTGGACATTTCATGAATCTATATAAAAATAAATTCCAAAATAAAACTAAACAAATTCAAATTCTGCTTATTGAAACAATTTCTGATCATGTTTGAAATGTGGTATGTTAGCGAAAAATGGCTATGGAAAAACGTCCAAATTTGAGACTCTAGTGCGGCCAAACTAGAAAATGTCGCCTACATTCACCAATATCACGTGAATCTCTATAAAAGTACCTATCGAACGAAAAAAAACATTTTGGTATGTTAGCAAATATGGGTGTGAGTATAGTACAATATATACTAGCACAATATACATATACTATACTCTAGTATAGTACAATATATTCTAGTACAAAATACACTATACTGTAGTATAGTAGATTCTAGTACAAAATACACTATACTGTAGTATAGTAAATTCTAGTACAAAATACAGTATACTATAGTATTGCAAATTCTAGTACAAAATGCGCTATACTGTAGTGTATTAAATTCTAGTACAAAATACACTATACTGTAGTATGGTACAATATATTCTAGTACAAAATACACTATACTGTAGTATAGCAAATTCTAGTACAAAACACACTATACTGTAGTGTATTAAATTCTAGTACAAAATACACTACACTGTAGTGTATTAAATTCTAGTACAAAATACACTGTACTGTACACTGCACACTGTACACCATTCTGCAGTGTATTAAATTCTAGTACAAAATACACTATACTGTAGTACAGTAAATTCTAGTACAAAATAAACTGTACTGTAGTATAGTACAATATATTCTAGTACAAAGTAAACTATTCTGTAGTGTATTGAATTCTAGTACAAAATACACTATGCTGTAGTATAGCAAATTCTAGTACAAAATAAACTATACTGTAGTATAGTACAATATATTCTAGTACAAAATACACTATACTGTAGTGTATTAAATTCTAGTACAAAGTAAACTATACTGTAGTGTATTAAATTCTAGTACAAAATACACTATTCTGTAGTATAGCAAATTCTAGTACAAAGTACACTGTACTGTAGTATTGCAAATTCTAGTACAAAAAACACTATACTGTAGTGTATTAAATTCTAGTACAAAATACACCATACTGCAGAGTATTAAATTCTAGTACAAAATACACTATACTGTAGTACAGCAAATTCTAGTACAAAGTAAACTATACTGTAGTATAGTACAATATATTCTAGTACAAAGTAAACTATACTGTAGTACAGTAAATTCTAGTACAGAATAAACAAT